TGCATATTTGCTTCATTAAATAAAGCGATGCGTATTATTCTTATTAAATAAAATAAAATGTTCCAATGCAAAATTATATATAAATTGTGTAAGGTAGAAGCAATGAGAAAAAATGTTTAGGCAATTATTACAGAAGTACATTACTGTTTTATTTAATTACTATTTAATTATAAGTATCAATTAAACATAATAGGGATGAGGAGGATAGCAATAGCGAAGAAAGACAAGGAAACCTATAGCGGTAGACAAGGATAGAAAATTTTTCAAAAGTAAAGTAACGCCAACTCGTGCTTGGCTAAGCGAACTAATGGGTTGTTACTAGGAACACAGAATGTGAACAGAGGTATTAGACAAGGAACGCACTACTGTGCGAGAAGGATAGAGAGAAAACGTTTCTTATTGGCCTGCGGGCCGCTAAACTCCGCCTCCCAGACAAATCATTAATAACTCATTATTTCCGATGAATTTGTAAACCTTTAGGATTGAAGAATAAAGTGTGGACCTTCAGCAACTTTTACAAATAGATTTTAATACACTAGACACTTTCAATAATTAGTTATTAACAATTTTAGTACGGGATCTCGGAAACGATACCGCATACCTTCACGGTTTTTCAATAATTTCATAGCTTTTTACTAACTTTCCATTCAACTACCTAACTGCATGCATCTAAAAGATAACTCCTTTAGCTGCATTCTCGTATAATTTTTATTAACATATTCGGTTTAGTTTGAGACTTATTAAGCATTATATAGGAGAGTCCCCTGTTTATTGCTAATATCTAATAAATCACAACACTTGCGGCTACCAAACTAATTGCAGAATATAAATAATTGTCGATTCTACATTCTACATGCTTCAAAGTGCACAATTAGTCACGCATGTCTATTGAAATAACGAAAATGTGTTACGCTTGAAAGTGACGGGTGTAATACTCACTCAAAGAGTGTTAAATAACTATCAAACCACAAGGGCCATGCTAATAAAAATTACATGAGAATGTAGTCAAAGGAATCATCTTTGAGACACGTAAATTAATTGTATGAAAAGTATGCAGAAAGCTATGAAATTATTGAAGAACTTTTAAGATATGCGGTATCGTTCCCGACATTCCGTACTAAAATTGTTAATAGCTAATTATTGAAAGGATCCAATGCATTGAAACCAATATGTGAAAGTTGCTGAAGTTCCGCACTATACTCTTCAATACTAAAAGTTTACAAATTCATCGTAAATAATGAGTTATTAATGATTTGTCTCTGGCCGATTTTACTTAGGGCTTGGGAGGCGGAGCTTAGCGACCCGTAGGCCAATAGGAAACGTTTTCCCTCTATCCCTCTCGCACAGTAGTGCGTTCCTTGTTTAATACCTCTGTTCATATTCTACGTTCCTAGTAACAAGCCGTTAGTTTGCTCAGCCAAACACGAGATAGCGTTGGTTTACTTTTGATTTAGCGTTCTACCTTATCGGCTCACGCCAGAAGTAGGAAAATAGAGGTTTCTTTCGTACGTGGGCTTTTACCGTACCAGTATTTTCGGACTAATTTTAATAAATTTAACAAAACTAATTTTTTTTCTATTATTTAACAAAGTATAAAGATATAAAACACTCTTTTTTCTGACTCTTGCTTTGACACCTTGATCTTTCAACCATGAAGGTTTCCGCTTTTCATAACAAAAAGCAACAGTTCTTGTATAAAAATTTAATAACTTATTTTCACGTTTTTATACGCGTAGACGTAGGAAAGAAAGCACTGGAGCAGCTTTATGAAGGACCATACAAAGTCATCAATAGAGCAGATAAATATTTCACCATCGACTTAAAAGGACACCAGCAGAACATCTCAATTGAAAGATAAACTAGCCTATATCGAAAGGACAGAAGAAGCACCAGCAACAAGAACATATCAAAGGGTATCGTCATCTCATTCCCGAGAACTGAATGATTTGAGGGGATTATATGGCGACGTCAACTTCTGTCAAAAAACGGGAAAAAAGAGTTCGTTTTCGTTGAAGCAGATACGGCGGAAATCATAAGAGCCCGCACGGGAGAAATCCTGCAGCAATATCTTTTTTATGTTTCAGGTGCAGTGACCATCGATGTAGAGGTAGTTGAGCCACAGACGATATATAGAATAGATCACTCATCCAATGTGCTTTTCTGTCACACGACTGCGGGGTCCTAGAACCCCGTTACCATCATTCTACTGTATTAATTAGGACTGGTATCACTGCGCTATTAGTGGTAGGAATTGAAATCAGAAATACTTAAATCAAGGTACACATATTTGCGTTTTTGGATCGAATGGTGTATTGACAACACAATAACAATGTAACGACGACCAATATCGATAGTTTTGTTCGATGCAGTTCTTAAAATGACCGTTCTTAAGAGTAGAATGTGCTTCAAAACCAGTACTTTTGGACGACGTCGGTATTTCAGGTCGTGTGACAAAAAGTCCCATAACATGTTTGGTCTACCTTATCGTCTGTGATAATACCCTGAGGAATTTTTGAAATTTTATAATTTATGAAATAATTATGGTTACGTTAAGTACAAAGGAAAATAAAAATATTGGTTATTTTTTGTTCAAAGAGCGTTTATTGCCAAATTAGCAACAGTATTCGTGCTTCAAAGTTCGACTTCTTTTAAAACGAGGCGCAGGTGTCTTATTATTGATATAGTAAAATCTTCTTCATCCAATACATTCCTGTACTTCTTGTTGTTCTATTGCGCTAGCAGTAAATAAATTTACATATCTATGAAATTACTGTACCGATGAATTGTACTGACCAAATTGTACAGAAATATGTCCGATGAATACATTCTTGCGTTCAGTATTTAATGTTCTGCCGCAAAACGCAGAACTATTGTGCAACTGGAAAAAGATTGATTGGTCTGATAACAATGTAATACTGAGTAATTCTACTTACAGTAGATCTTCATCAAATACATTAGACAGTATTATATTTACCCTGTTATTAGTAACTACTTTATCTGTACATTAGTTAATTTGTATACATATTAATTTCATCACACTGCAAACAATCGTAAGATTTCAATGAAAAATTATGTAATTTAACCAAGAGGTAGAAAATGCATCAAACATTGCAAGTCTCTAGATTTATTTGCAATGCCATAAGCTAAAATTTTGAAAACAATGTTTCAGTACTGACAGATGCACTGATACGCAATATTACATTTAAAATATTGTATTTAAAAAGAAGTGATTTTTTCAAACGTCAATATATTAACTAATGTTCGTGACTTTTCAACAAATTGGATAAAGCTACTTTCCATAGCAATCTTTGTAAAATCATCCAACATCATAGACCATCGTCTTTCTCTTGTTTGCGCATTATCTTCTACTATTGCACCTTCGAATTTCAACTGTTTTTTCCATAAATCAACAGCAGGTGATATTACTTCTTCTTCAGATTGATTGTTGCCTTTCTTACCAAAACCCAATCGATATTTTTGCAAACAGAGGGTTAAAGTATAAAAAATAGTATGTAATTGATCTATTATACGATGTACGTTAGCCCTTTTACTGGTCATCAGAGAAATTAATACGTTCTCGTAAGATTTTAGTTTAACGGTTAAATGATTTATCGTTTCAATGCATACTTGCATAGATGTGCATAGTTGTAATATAATAGAAATACGATGAGTCAACGTTGTAACCTAAATAAGAGGAAATGTAATCCTTAATAAGGAAAAATAAGCAACATCATGTTTCATCGTAACTTAATTTCTGATTTATAATATTAACCTGTTAACTGAGTTCACTTCTCAAACAGAAATTGAATCTCTCTAGTTTATAATTAAAAATGAATACAAATTATAACTAATTATTTCATGTTTCTTCTTATAAATGTGAATATGATGTATTTTGTATTTAATACATGCAAAATTGTACAATTAAAAATGAACAATCCTTCGATAAATAAACTAAACTATTGATGAACCAATGACGAGTTAACTCGTCTTCTCCAGTTAAAAGGTTAAACATATAAAACCGTGTGTTTCCTTTTCGAGTAATTTTGTAAAATTCGTTAAATCATTGATATTTCTCAAAGTGAAGCCAAACTCCTTTTCACACAAAATTAGGAATCCCTTTCCAAAAAGCATATACATATATACATGTTATTATTAAATTAATTAATTACGTTAGGCTTCATAATTATAAGAATTTATTCTTCAAAGGAACCATATGAATCGATATTGAAAAATAGATATCTTTAATATGTATAAAAACATGATCAATATTTAATATATGTATGATTAATTTCACAACAATATATTTATATATCGTAAATTTAAAGATTATTTTCATAAATATTTCTAATTCTAACTACAAAGATGTTCAACGAGTAAACCAACACTTTTTTTGGGCTCAATTGTACGCTTCCGTTTATAAGTACAGTAAATTCTCTACAAGTGTCAGTTTGGATTCTACAAGTGTCAGTATAGATGGTCCTACGCCTAGGCTGCGTCATTGCTGCGCCTGTTATCTCGCTCGCTGTCAGTCAAGCGTGTAACGCTACACCACTCGGTTTCTTTTACGAGATTTCACGGCTGGACAATTCATGATAGAAAAATATAATTTCTTTAATTTTACTTTTTTTCATCTGAAATTTTTTTTAACATGTTGGTGAGATTTTTCTGATGAAAATGATATCAAACACGACATAATTTGAACAACTCTACTACTGTTCAATTTATACTACTCTAAAACTCTAAATATTTTCACATTCATAATTAAACATCTATATCATCACATTTAACATAAATAGCTTTTCTTTAAACCACAAACATTTACTAAACTAAATCTGAACATAAATAAAAAATATACAACAGGAATGGAAACGTACATTGAAAAAGCACGTAGTGTTGGGTAGAATTCACCATTGTAAAATATTTTTGTTCTTTACCATAAACTAACCTGAATGTAAATCGCGTCAGCGTCAGTACACACGCATACCCGTTCACAGATTATTAAATATTTATCATATTTTAGTTTAACTGTAATATTTATAATATTTTCATGAACAAAGTTTGCATTTTACTCGAGAACAACACCAAATATCCCTTTTTAGAATTTACCTTATTCAATCCAGTATTTTCTATACACTTGTCCAGGAAACTAGTCACTGCCTGTACAATTTCTTCCGTGCATATTGAAGTTTTATTTTCAGCTTCGAAAACATCACAAAAATTTAAGATCGCATTCACAGCCTGTTCTTCTAAAGTATCCTTCCAGCATCTTTTCCTCATATGTTGTCTTGTTATCTTTTCATTTTGGAGAACCAAAAGAATCTCCTTCATCGATTGAAGTGCAACACCATATCCGTTTAAATCCTCAAACGTAAATCTCAACCATTTGGAAGAAATCTTCGCTTCATTTGTTTTAGTCTTTCTAGCCATATCAGCCAATTTATATACAGATTCTAATTTCCTTTTCTTACTGTTACTTCCCTCGTATTTTTGATTTTCAATCGAACTTTTATCTCTCTGCAAATGTCCGTTTCGCGTGCATGGTGTTACACTGTGGCTACACACTATTTGTAACGAATCTGTGCTTCTACCGCTATTTTGGTGCGGAAAACATGAGTACAACTGGCGATCCTGGTCGGGAATCCAATCTTTGTGAGCCATATTTGCGGTGAGGATGTCTAAATCAGGTATATCATTTACATTCTCATATTTCTGATAAGGAGTAATATTACCGATGAAAACCTTGAAAAGCCTTGAAAACATACCGATATCTTTGTTTTGGAGAATACAAGCCGATGTTGGTGTGTGTTCCGTCCTCAATCGGTATGTATCGTAGGCGCTATCTTTTTGAAGGATGTCAGAATTGTTCACTTGATTCGAAGAAATCATACCATCTTTGTTATCGAAATTCAAATTAAATGCTTGTGTCAACGATGTCAGTACTTGCTTATTTAAATCAAAAGTTAATTGTCTCTTTAATTGGTTACAATTCTGTCTGTGTAAGGTATAATCATCGTCAAATGCAATGATGTCTGAATCATCCTCGTTTACGGTAACTGCGAGATAATCTGTTGTTTTTAAGAAAGTTTCCTTCGACAGACCACTACTCGGAGAAATTGAACAGAATTTCTTCATCGGTTTTTCGGTGACAAAATCTGATAAGCTTTTTCCAAGCTGTTCATCAGTTTTTTCATTATGCATTATGTTATTAGCTTCCTGACTGGCCAAAGAATCTCTAAATATGTCTGAACTGGATGCATATTCTTCATCCGAGTCTGGAATAATGTACTTATTCGAGGTTGCATTTTGCACACAGAAGAATTTTTGAAGTTTTTGAAAGGAAGTAAAAACAGAGGGGCTGTTCCTTTTTTCATTAAAAATGTCTCTTCCTTTATTCATATATTGCTGCTGATGAACTGCTTGATGATTATTTATGTTATACTGTATGTTGCATGATAAATCGGTTCTACTAACGTGCACTGATTGTGAATCATTAATGAAATTCGTACTACGGTCTTCAATTCCAGAAATGGGATGATTATTATGGTGGTCAGAATCCTTTCCTGTAGAAAAGTACGGTACATTTCTTAAGATGGTTATTTGTAAAAAAATATTAACTTTGAACAGCTTGCAACATATTGAATAATTAATTCAGAATTGACAAAACACTGAGACTATGATGAATGACTAAAAATAGATGTTATTTTATTGAAAAAACGAAATTACTTTATTTCAATTGAAAAATAGATATTTAAAGTGAAAGAAAACATTCTTGCACTTGCATTCATTAATGTCGTTTTATTCAATAAAACTTGATAGTAACAGTAATTGTGAACAAGTACAGAAACTCTGTAACATGTATATTGATTTTAGAAGTTGTTTAGCTTCCTTTAGAATAATTCTATACCTGTTCGACCGCGTACCGTGTGTTTCATTTATTACGATTACTTCGAATGTCTTTTCTTTTTAATAAAAATAGGACTTATGAAAAATAAACTGTTCGCAAAGAAAGACTTGCTACAGTTTTTCTTTTTGATTTTCAATTTTTATAGGATTATTCTGGCAAACTATTCTACTGTTACATTTTGTAAACAAATATTATTTAATTGTAACAATAAGATCGTCACGTTAAAAGTACAATATACAGGTTAGGTCAAAATGGATGATACCAGCAGACGAAAGATAACTCGACATGAAAATATAAGTTCAAAATATAAAAAACAATTTGTTCATATGATGCTTCCTTTTCGAAAAAATGAAGTTTGGAAATTCGTTGCATACGCGTACAATTGCCAATTTATTTTTATTTGTATTACTATTTGCAATCCCTGGTATCATAACTTAAAGAATAAAGCAAGCTTTTGTAAATATATTTGGTTCTATTATAAATATTCTTACACTGCTGCCTGCGTTTCACATACAGACTTTTGTTTAACATTTTGTAAAATAGTACAATAACAAATGCACGCCCAGGTTTTTCGAAAACGAAGTATCATACAGAAAAACTATTCTACATTTTCAACTTATTTTTTCACATAGAATTGCCTTCTGCCCGGCTACATTACTCATCTTGATCCACCCTGTAGGTATATTAAACCTTTACAACGAGCATACCCATTGTTTATAGTAAAATTTTAATATGTTGTCCGCAGTCGACACGTGTACTGAAATCTTACCAAACAATTTCTTTTAAATTAAATTTATTAATACAACATTATTTAAAATAATAATTGAAATAATTGGAATAAATAAAACGTTGTTACTATTTCAATTGAAATTTAAATATACTCATCTTGAGAAACTGTAAAAGAAATATATACTAAAGATGATAAAAGCCGAATCTTATTACTTGTATTTCGATTGTTACTCCACTGTTTATTAAATACCAAATAAAATTGTTCAACGGGAATGTCTTTCATAAACTTGGTGGCAGACATTAACCAGACTGTGGCTTGTAGAAAATTTACATTATCCACGTATTCTTCCGTGTAAGTTGATATTTCTTCGTACATTTCACAGAGATTTGTTGGTATATTTAAAAATTGCCTGCATCGATAACAATTTGCGTTATCAGAATCGTCCAATTTGCTTAATCTCTTTCTATTCATTTTTATTAAAAGTTATTTGATGACAGGCGAATATGATCTTCCACTGCTTTCAGAAAATTTCTTGTAAAATTACCTACATTAATAATTATGTAAAATAATCTATTAACGTTAAAAATCATTGTTGAAAGTTTCAATAATTATCGAACAACCTATATTGAATGAACGACAATACGAATTCTTGGTGTTTACGTGCTGTTAGTCAAAAAAATGTTATTTCGGTCATCATTCGTTCATGTTTATTAATATTCTTGTTTATCTAGAAATAAATATTAGTGCATTAAATTATACAACGATAGAAATTATAACGTTGCACCTCTATAAAATACTGTATTGTGCAACAGATTGTATTTTTAAAAATAATGCACATACTTTACTATATTATGTGCTGCAATATTGTAATTTACATTTTAAAGAAGAATAACTTACATCAAAACATTATTGCGTACAATTAAAACCGTAGGAAAATATCGAATTCTAGTTCGTGTAAGCATACTGATTGTAAGAAGAATCAATTTTTGACAAATCCCTACAACTACATAAGCGCACAGCAGCGGTGGTTCTATGTGAAATGGCATGCGCTGCGCAAGCAAAATGCGCGGCAATCATTCTAACATCAGCCATCCAACAGTTCGCGTCAAAGCGACTGCGGCATTTATTCGGAGAGGTAATTGATATACCAACATTCTAATTCGTATTATCACAGACGAGATACAGAATAGACCTATCACTACAGATGAGGTGCAGGAGAGACCTAACACCTAATGTATTTTTGTGTCCACGGCACGAGGATTGAGAGCCCTTACCATTTTCGTGTCGCTCCCAACGTTACCGATTCAGCATAGAATAAAAATAAATGTGAAATGTGAAAATACTAAATACTAAATCTAAATATGAAATTACAAGTAAAGTATATAGGACAGGATACCTTATAATCATACACGAAGTATAGAATTCTATATAGTGAATAAAATTACGCAACTTTATTCTGTACTTTATTTTATTTCATTGAAACATATTAAAATACACACCTGTGCTTCCTAGACAGAATCCCTCGATCGATCCGGACTGGTGAAAGCTTTCACTTTTGCCGCCGTGTCCATGTACGACAGATCAGTAGCGACACCTGGGGTGTTCACGATATCGTACAATGATAATTCGGTTACAAGAGGTGACTGTTTCAGGAACAGCAATACATAGTGGCTGACCGATTTCACCGCTGGCACCTATAACTGCGACCTTGGCATTGCACTGTAACAAGGACCAGAGATAAAACTATTTGTAGAGTGTATATCTCAATGTGAAATTACTCTATGATAATTTACTCTCTAGAGTCTAGACAAATCCATGCATAGAATTTGCTGAAATTCACGATGTTGAGAGTCGAATAAATATTCGCGGTTACATAACTATACTTGATATTTATATTATGATGTATAGTACCATTAATGCCTCTGTATGGTCGATTAACCTCGTAATGATCTCAAGTTTTATGGGACATCAAAGGAAGATTAGAGACATAAATAGGATGTATAGTAAGGCCCGCTCCCGGTCCGGTCAAATATTCATCTATGGTTAAGAACATACTCATTCACACTACGGGTAACGCTTCGGTCATGGTCCGATCACAGTCCAGTCTCGTCTCAGCAACTAGCTTTGGAAAGAATAATTTGGTATTTTTTTTCAAAATTCTTTTTTCAATTTTCAATAATATCATTTCAAATATACCCGAATTCATTCGAAAATATTGGACGATTGCAAAAGTTCGTGCTCGATTTGAAAATAAAACACAAGCGGTGTATCTTTCGATAGGAGTGTAACATGACGGTAAAACAAACATCTGCGCCGAAGTCGATAAGGTTCCCGCAAATTAGCAGTGCAAATTTTGACTGTGACTTCCGCTAGAATCTTGAGGATTTTTCTCGTTGATTATCTTGAATTTGGTTTCCTGTTCCTGTTCCTTCCATTTCTCGTAATACTTCTCGTTTTTTTCTTCAAATCGACTGGTAAATTCGCAGGCAGAAATGGCTGATTGAAATTCGTCGAGAAATTGATGAAAGCAATTTTGGTTCTCCAATTCTGTTTTAAAATTGACAAATTGAGCTGGTCCTGAAACATATCCGCAAAGAAAATCGTACGATGATTTCGAAGAACCTATTTAACCTTCCGTCGGGCGCACCCATTTCTGAAACGCCATCGGGCGCACTGGATCTTAGAGATCGGCCTTCAAAAGGTCTTTTACCAAGTGGAAAGTAACTAAGCGTAGGAATAATAGAAGAACATGAGTGTAAACAAGAAACATCAACATTTTGAGCACATTTGCATATTCCTTGCGCAAAGCATCGCGTCTATATGTATACATAGATGAATTATGGTTGTGCCTGAGAGATCAGGTGCACCCGACGGAGGGTTAAAAGACTTCCCTTCCTGCAAACACTGACAGTCATTCATGTCTAATTTTATCTCGTCGTTCGTGGTCAGAGTTTTGTTCAACTGAAAACATTTTTCCGTTTCTATATTGATATTTTGTTTAGGCAAGTCTACTTGCTTTACTTCAACTACTTTCGGTTCTTTTTCCGGTATTTCTCTAACTCCGTTTTTATTTTTGTCCGATTCATTCTTGTCCAATTTCCTTCGACGAAGTTTGGGTACGATTTTGGGGCTCAATTGGTCGTAGCATGGTAAATCTGGTACTTGTGATTCAAAAAGAACAGATTCTGGAGATCTCTGACGCAAAAATCTCTCTGGATCTTGGTTTCTTTTTTACTGGAGTGTCTTTCGTATCCAAACTATCAGAAAGGTCAGAGTGTTGCAGTAAATTTTCTTGAGATTGAGATCGAGGTTGTTTTCGACGAGATCGTTTGTAATCCTTACGTTTTGTCATTTTGATTTCCTCTTGGACAGCTTACTGGATGGTTTGGCGATTTTATCAGTCTATATTAATTTTTAAATAAAATAAATTAACTTGCACCGTGAGAATCGCGTATTTCGAATGTAATACCGTTGTACATGTTTGATACACTGATGACATTGTACTTAAACGGGCATTGGTTGGTATAATTGTTTGTTTTGATTCTAATTAAAGGATATAATACCAAAGAAGAGATATAGAATAGACTAGTACTCATCTAATGTATTTTCTTGTCCCGCGACCTCGGGATCCTAGAACCCCATTACCATTTTCGTATCACATCCTACTGTATCGATTGGGACTGGTATTATACCACTGCGCTATTAGTGGTAGGAATTGAAATCAGGAACACCGATAAGCATTTGTTATTTTAAATAAGGAAGAAGACAAAATTTCGAATCTTAGGATGAATCAGAATGGATTATTCAATCACGACACATTTGTGTTTCGTAGTGCAAGGTTGTATTGACAACACAGTAACAATGTGCACACAATCTTGTCTTGAATGCTAACTTTTCGGATTTACTGCCGAATCAATATCGATCCTTTTGCCCGATGCAGTCCCTAAAATGACTGTTCTTAAGAGTAGAGTGCGCTTCAAAACCAGTAGTTTTGGACGACGTCGGTATTTCAGATCGTGTGACAAAAAGTCCCATAAGATGATTGGTTTATCCTATATCACAGCCGAAGTACGGGATAGACCTTACCTAATGTATTTTTGTGTCCAACGTTCTGAAATACCGATCGTGTAGAAAATGAAAGGATTTGTTATGCCCACTATGATATAAAGCGGTGAGTTTAGGAATTACATACAATCCAACCATCAAAGATGGTAAAGTCAACAGATGTACAAAATCCTCTTTTATTAAATTTGCATATAAAGATACATACATATATTGAATTGTTTGGGTAGAACTATTTACGATCTTTTGACAGCGGTAGAACAAGTGCATGTGATGAATCATGTACTAATAAACAATTACGTTTCTTTCTTATTTGTAATTTCATAGTTACGTTTAATTCCAATTCCGACCACTACTAATGTTGTAATCTTATTCTATATGAATCGGTAACGTTGCTAGCGACACGAAAATGGTAAGGGTCTTCTCGACCCCAAACCCCCGACAAAATGTCTCATAAGATGCAAGGTCTATCCTGTACGTCGTCTGTGCTTTGCTGTGATATTAGGTCTATTCTGAATCTCGTCTATGCCTATACCTTATTTATATAATTTCATAGTTGCATTTAATTCTAGTTCCAACCACTAATAATGTTATAATCTTATTCTATGCTGAATCGATAACGTTGGAACTGACACGATAGTAGTAAGACAAGGCTTTGGGACAAAAAAACACATTGGGTGATAGATCTATCCTGCACCTCGTCTGTGATAATAATTCCTGTGTTTCTTTTATTAGTATTAAAAGAAATCTTGTTTTCATTTTCAAAAAATTTTCGACAAAAATTATAAAAATGATAAAAATTATATATTTTCTATATTTATATACTTCTGAATTACTAAACTTTATTTTGAGTACATACAAAAGTA